GAGAGATCGTGTATCTGCCTCTCGTGGCCATGTTACTTTAATTCTGCTATCTCTGATAATTTTGTAATTATTCGGCTTCCCGTTATTTGCTGCCAACATTTAAAACTGATACGCCCATTAGAGTTTTTGAGCCAACTTAGATTTAAACACGGTTGAGTTGTCTTTAACTACTAGTCTTAGTTTTAAATTTGACTTTGTTTTGTTATTTTAATTACTTCGCCACAAGATGATATGAGCCCAAGAAGTAGATTTATGTTCAAGTTTGCGTTTAAGTAAAAAGGTTATTTTATAAAACCTTTGTAAGATTTTGTAGTTAATTTCAGACGCAGTGATAACATCTGTTAGGATTTGTAACTAGTTTATGTTTCCAAAGCAAACCAAACTCTATGAAATATATAAACTTCTGTAAAACGTACGTATGCATTTCTGTATGAACAAATTCTTCTGTAAAAAGTATTTTATCATAGGGAAACAAAATATTAATGTGTTGTAAAAGAATAGGTATAGAAATATCTTGTTATGGAATACATTACCATAACATTTCCATTACAATAAGTAACAACCAGCTTTCTAGGTAAGCTTTTTTATTCAAAGGAATGAGTTTCCATCTCAAATTGACATTGGGACTTCAAACACTTGCGAAATTGTTCACCTGTGTCGATAATTAACTGTGAATAATGGAAAAGAGGTTTCCTTATGTTAATGATTCTTTTCAGAAGTAGGAAAAGAAAACAACGGCTTGTTTAAAATTAATTGTCTATGAATTATGAATGAACTAGTAATAACAATAGTTATGTTTTACATTCTTCGGAATACTTTTTATTATGTTTCTCTATGACATCATACTCACAAAAACGTCTTACAAATTAATATGATTATGGATAGAAGAGGCACATGCTAGTTTAAACTAAAAGGAACTTGAGATTTATATATAGTGATGCTATTTTTTTGTTAAAAGAATCAAGAGCTATATATATCCATATATAGGATTTCTATATATGGAACATATCTAAGAAATTTACCAGGGCTAAAGAAAGAGAGCCCTGTAAAGTTACCAGATGTCCGGCATTGGTCCAGACTGTCTTCGGTTCTCAATTAAATTCCGGATTGTGTCTTGAATGAAAAGAAAAAAAAATCAGGAATCAGGAATAAAATTGAAAAAATTACTGATTTACAAACGGAAGATATGAAGGAAGAATCTAACGAAAACTTAATAATGTTTTTAACAGAATACAGGGATTTTTGTATAAATTCGGATAATTTTCAAATTGTTGGTGAATAATGTATTTACAAATCTATTGACTGGCTGTAAAATATACGCAACCCAGTTTTCAATATACTGTTGTTAGAACTTCTAATAGTTTTATTCAAACTCATTTTTTTCATAGCGGCTTTAGTTAATCTTGCATAATCATAGAGCGTAAATCTTAGGCGTTATTACATTCGAATTAATTTTTCATAAAATGTTCTGGATTATCTTTCCTAAAATATGTAGCCCTTTATAAACCCCATTTTTTAAAGAGCAAATTTTTGTAAGAATATTTTTGCTTTGGGCGTTCTTTGGATTATATTTTGATTGAATAATTTTGTGTCTTGAAAGAGAGAAATATTTGAAAAATTTTCAGAAATTCTTACAATTTTCTGGGCTCAAGTTTTGCCTAATTTTAATATTTTGGGTCAATACGAATGCATTTTCAACGCCCTTTTGGCCTGTTTCAGTGCTATCTTTCTCAAGAAATAATGTACAGAATTTCAAAGAAGTTATCGCAAGGAAATGCCATTGCAACTCTTCCGGTTTTGCCGTAGACTCCATGTTTTTGCGACACATCTCCCGGTCCCTTGGTGGATAGTAAATCTGTCGATTTTTAATTTTTAGCCTTTACTAAGTAAAATGTTTTTCAAAATTAAATTTATTGAATTAAAGAAACTTAAATTCCATTCCCCATCCCTACTGATTTTCTGCATAACGTTTTTTTTTTTTTTTTTTTTTTTTTTTTATTTAATCTGAACTGTCTTAATCTTCTGAAAGTATGTGCAGAATTTTTATGAAGATCTAACATATGTTTAAGCATTTAATATTTTTTTATTTTGCTTTACATCAATCAGTACATGATACATTTCTAAATTTATCTTTCCAATCGTACATACAATGTTAATTTTATTTTTATCGTGTTTCAAAGTATTTTGAAAAATTAAGTTTCCTTTTCTTACTCAGAATTTTCTCAGTAAAATTAGCCAAGAAACATACAATTTAGGATATCTAATTAAATAAATATTAATATATTTTACTTCAGAATTACATTATAAATAGTTGAATAACCTGACTTATTAACTTAAAGCTAATTTAAACAAGTTTAGAGTTCTGCGCAGCACAGACACCTTCCATAAACTATTATATTTTTATTAAAACTACCTTCATAAATTATCTTGGGATCAGGTTTTCTTTCCTTTTATTTCCCATTTGCTCAAAAAAATAATCCAAGCGATCTTTAAACGGCCTTCAAACAATCATAAATATGTCGATAAATGAAAGGGGTTTAATTATATATCATATTCGTTCAACAGTAATAATAAAAACCAATTCATCGTAAATTTTAGCATCACTAATCGCAGAAATATGTTTGCATGCTGCTTACTGGAATATTTATGATTTCCCACAAAATTAGCTCTTTGCCTGATAGAATATTCATGAGTAACTGAAAATTATATCGATGATATACGAGTGAAGGTCGATTTTGGGATATTTCTTCCATGCTCTTAACTTACATGGCGCCGTATCTTTATCACTTTTAGGCAAATATTATTTTCCATTGATTATTCTGTAAATAATTACTGTCAAAGGAAAACGTAAATTATCATTTAATATTAAAAATGAATTATCTGGTAATTAAGATTAATTGCTAACTAAAGAATACTGACACTAAGATTTACATAAAAGGAATATGAAACGAATTCTGTGTCTGCCATTGAAAGGTATGTGGCTCAGCTCACTAAATTCTTACGTATTAATGGAAGTAAAGTTCACTTGCTACTTTTATTTGAATATGGAGTATTTCTGATCATTTCAGTCCTAACTGTTACATTCTTTTAATATAACAACATTTTAAATAACTTATATAGATACATTAGGTATTTTTGGAGCACGAGAGATGAAAAATTAGCAGCTGCCTTCGCCGGGAATCGAACCACGGACCTCTGAAATACCTGCTCAGTGTGCTGACCACTGATGCGTTAGGAAGGCGGGAGAAATACCTTATAAGCTTACATAATTGGAAGTTTTAGAATTTTCATTTTTATGTTCATTATACAATAAGTAAATTTTTCTAATCCCAGTTGGGGATAAGTTAAGCTTTCTCCACATGTTTACATTCTATAAAACGGTATTCTAAAAGGGATCCATTTAAAATTCTTCAGCTGATTAAATTTTAGTGTTCATTTTCCCAGAACGAATGCAGCTAGAATAGAAATCCAGAAATTCCTTTTGATAGACTTCAAGTTTTACTTTAAATGTATATCTAGAAAGTCTGTTTAATTAGATTATTTAATTACTAAATATATTCCTTGTCTCACAAAATTAAAATACGAGACTATTCTGAATGATCCAAAACACCCGTCTTCAACCCTTAGAACTTCACGGACCACTACAGATAAAATTTTATATTTGACGGACCACTAATATGAGTTACAAAACATACGTATATTTATACAATAATATATTATATTATATTATATATTGTATTATATATTGTGTTTGTACAAAAATATATTATATTATGGGATTATGTACAATAATAATCAACAAACTACGCAATTTCATTCATACTGAAAAATTACATGAAAAGAAAAAAAATCTTACCGTCTTGTACAGTAAGCTTCACATTTCCATATCACTGAAAAGGAACTTCCCGAAATGTAAGAACAAATCGGCAAACGCAAAGTAATATCAATAAACTGATAATGTTATACCACGAATTTTTAATTATTGTAAACATAATAATCATCGCTTACTCAGCAATATCGCGAACGATCAGCAGTCAGACAAAAAAAAAAAAAAAAAACGGAAATTTCCAGTGATGCAATTATAAACAAGAATGCGGATGAACCATCTGCATTCTTGTTTATAATTCCATCAAGTTCCATAAAATCCCATGAAGTTGCCTATTGACACGGAGAAAAACTGTGTTATTAACGACTACAATAGCATATGTTTGTAATTCAAAAAGGAAGAGAATTCCATTTCGCGCTAATATTGATAACAACAGAATATCTATGGATGCCAACTCTTACTTTCAAATGTTGCTAGTTGTAAAAGTAGCTAAAATGTCGCTAAATTCAGAAGGAATTTCGCTAAAAGTAGTAGCTAAAATTTTTAAAAAAATGTATAATCCTTATTACATAATAGGTATTGATTCGAAATTCGGTTGCCAGACTTTTTTCTATCGAACGTTGTTTTGCAGTAATAGGCGCTTTATTTTTCATAAAAATTCCAGTATTTTTTACGTCTTAGCTATTATAATTAGCTGTCATTATTTCAATATAAATTCTATTTGATTTTTCTTTATTATTTTATCTCTATTAACCTCCTTTTTAGAGTCTTATAATAATCGTTTAGCATTTTGGTTTGCGTAAAGTTTACATAACCCCCAAAATAATAAATAGTTTATATAAACCCCAAACCTGTTTCCTTTATATAAAGTTTCATCTCGCAGACATCATAATGGAAATGTTCTTCGGTTTGTCATTTATGGTTCTTACGTTTTGAAAGAGAAATTAATATTGAAATTTAGAAAATTATTACTAGCGATATATTACTTGCTAGTGATTATGGATTTTTAAAAATACTGCATTTACGTTGCACGAGAAATTTGCTACCACTTTCTAAAAGACTGCCATATATGAGATTCAGCCTTATTCAGCGGATCTACAAATTTAGAAGTACATATTCAAATCTCTAAGGGAGGGCTAACAAGCGATGTTTTTGTAAATTTTGGCTAATTTTGTTGAACTTTGTGTCTCAAAACGAAAATTTCATTTTCTAGCCTCATATTCATATTTCTTTGTAAAGCATTTCTGTTAGAATAAATTAGTGTCACTTTTGTATAAAGAAACTCGGCAGCATGAAAAACAAACGAGATTTTCAAACAATATATATTGACGTGAGAGGATTGTACCTATATTTTGATGCAGAAGTCTTAAAAAGATTTTGTGCCTTGCATTGTACTTGAGCTTCATTCTTTTTCAGCCATGTTACGTTCTTTTTTGGACCATACTGATAATATTGCCCAATAGGTAAGCCTGAAGATATTTACAATTTATAAATGAGTTTCTTGTAATTTCCTTTTTTTACAGTCACTTCAATTTAAATATTCGCAACTTTTATTTGTGTTCTATCTGAGTTAAACAAACTCTCTGACTTGTTAAATAAAGATTTCATAGTTATTCTAACTTACGATTCTTTTATAAAACTGTACTAAACAGAAGATAGTGTACTTCCTTAACTGTGTTAAATATACGACATATCAATGAAATTAAACCTAGTTTAATGTAAAGAGGTGGCAAGTACTATTCTTACTTTAAAATACTAAGGAATCAAGAACTAAATTTTAACCCTTGGAATTAATATCTCCCTATCAGACGAGTTTTTTAATATAATATTTCTCTTTCTCACTATTACCCCACTCACATACATAAAATTAAACAAACATCGTTTTGTACATCCATGTTGTAGTCCAAGGAATAAAATTATTATATTCGGGTTTTCACATACATGAGTTTTTCCAATGTTTCCGTGTTGCTGATAAAAAATTAAGTGCTTTTGCTTGTTTCAGTGATAAACTTAATAAAAATGGCAGTGATTGGCATTCTTTCTCTTTAAAAAGAGGTCTATATTTGAGCTTATTTTCAGGAGAAGTATATGAAAATCATCCAGTCTTCGGGATTTATAGTTGTGCCTTAAAATTGAAAGGGATAAATAATCCTTGCAATATACGTAATAGGTTTTTCAGGAAAATAAAAGTGTTTTCATATTAATTCTTACACCGGTCGTCAAAACTGAGCAAATATAACAAATCTCGTTTCCTTTAATCTCAGCTAGACGCTTTTATAAAATAAAGTCGGCAAAGAAAATCATTTAAGCTCGACCTTAATTCGAGAATGAGAATGATAACCAAACTGACTTCTAACATGCAGTAACAGCACTCAGGGAAAATTCTTTTGCAAAAAAGGGAGTGCTTGATAAAAGAGTTCTAAGTTCAGTCTCGAAATAAGCATTACAGAACAGTGAGTAAGAATCGCTGTTTTATATTAAAATTAAAACAGAATGAAACATTTATTTCTGATTTTTCAGATCCAAACATAGTATTAGAGAAGGGAGAAACTTAATATTTCTACCGGGTGAAACATATTATCAACAAACTGAAATTTACTTTTTTAAATTAGATATATTTACTCGTATACATTAAACTAAAAAATGCTTTGTTATCGTGATAGTCGTTTTCAGATATTAAAATCATTAAGTGTAATCTGAAGATTTTATTTTGCAGTCAAAAACTTCGAAGAGTGTACCATCAGTTTAAAAAAATAGGAAAATATTATCAATTTGAAAGCTATAAAAATAATAAAACTTTAAAAAATTGTTCTCACATCGTGATTCCAGTTTAATGCCTGAAGATTTTTTTAAAATTGAATGATTAGCGTACTAACTAGTTTAAAAAATAATCTCTAAGAAATTCTTGATGTGGAACATAATTTATGTACTGTTATGGATATAGTAAATTATGTATCATAAATGTTGTATATATTGTAATATATGTACTCAAGACCGGATTTAGATTTGACGAAATCCAGTTTATTGAGTCGTTTTTTTTTTTTTTTTTTTTTTCGGAGGCCCCCAAGATAGTTGAGGCCCTAAGCTATAGTTTGTTCTGCTTATACGTAAATACGGCACTGTGTTTACTATAATAAATTATGTGCTGTTACATAATGAGCTGCTAAAAATAGCATAACGAAAGGGGAAGGATACTTCTGTAATATTATTTAATTTTAATTGGCTCCTTATGGAGATTTAGTCTTTTATTTAATAAAGGTAGAAACTAATTATTCAATACGTGGCTGTGCATTTATTTAATTTGATCGCTTGCTGGCGAGGTTTGCAGCAAATATTTTCTTCAAAAGATAAGACTTTGTATTTAACTTCTTAGAAGTGCTTATTAAAATAACATAATAGTATAATTTTTAACGCATTTTATCATTAACTGCATATTTGTCATATTTAGTTAAACCACACTTAGACGACTTAGGCAGGTTGTCGTTTTAAAGAGAGCGTAGGATTACCAGCGATATTCAGTGCCGTTTTTTACTTATAATACGAGAAATACTGGCTGATTCCATTCGGGATTGCTGCACAGATGTCACTGCAACTGCTCCGATGCTTTCCTTATGTATATATTTCTATATTAAAAATAGTCAGAGAAAATGTTTGCAGGCTATGTTTGGAATATAAGAATTTATTACCTAGTAATCTTCGAAGTAACATACGCATATTTCAGCGCTCCTGAAAGAGCTAGAAAAATGTTTGTTTTGGTAGGTTTCGAGCAGAATGATGAGGCATTTTGGATAGGCTGAAATGTATATAAATGTTGACCCTGGAAAATTATGTAGATAAGAGACAAATTGAGATCAGAGAATGAGAAATGTAGAAAAATAATAAGAAGAATAAGAAGGTTGTGTGACAAGATAACGAAATATTCCTGATTAAAGAATTTCAAACTTTCTGATAGGTCTTTTGCTACATCGCACTAAATGGTCAAAAGCTGCAATAACTTCGGTAGAGTCGACTCAATCAAACGCTAATTCCCAGAACTGATTTCTTTCATCTCTAGTTTTGAGATTCTCTAAAACCTCCTTTTTACACAGAACTAAGAATAAAATTCGAAATGTTAGAAAATGATAAAAAATTAAACTCACTTTTAAGCATGGGAGGATAAACATTCTTTGCTTTCTTAAAATGGGAATCGAACTTTCTTGACAGGCTTCCAATAAGATGAGCTCCGATCTTTTTTGGCGAATCAGACATTCGTTCGCTCAGTATTGTGAATCAATTCGTGAACGAATAGCACATCTCTGCTCCGGGCATACTTCCAACAAGAGCTCTCTGTGAACTGTAGATGAGCCACCACCCCTTTCCTGCAGTCAATTATTCATTCTCTTAATAATGTAAATATGTTCTTTAAATCAATTCCAGTGTGAATCTTTCAACCCTAATCAGTTATACTATAGATATTCCTCGCTTTTGGGGTATTCACTTTACTTTAACTTACTTTACTCGCTTTCATTATTTTTTCATCTGCAAGCTTGAATTTCAGCTACAATATCCTCGGGAGTACTTATCTCGAAAATGATAACATTGGCGTCAACAGATACATAATTTTCAGAATTTTCTCGTCTCATTTCCAAATTTTCCAAGACGTCTATTTCTTCTTTCTCAGTGATTTGCCCCTCCTGAGAAATGTCCAGTCCATCCTTACCGAAGCAATTGGTAATGCATGTTGATGTAATGTTTTCCTATGCATTTTTCATTAAACGTGTCACTTCGAGTACGTTTGCATTAGCATTTGAGGTTGTTCCAGTTTCTAGAAACATCAAAACCAAGTGCTTACACGAAATCTGATTTAAAACTTCTGATGATCCTTTGGTCTGTAAGCTGGATAACACTTGTAGAATTCGGTGGTAAAAATTAAATCGTGATCACTTCTCAAGATAAAAAAAAAAAAAAAAGGCTGCCGTCACGTGTTCGCAGAATTTATGACTCATCACTAACTTTTAGTTAACTTCTGAATGTTAAAGAAATTAAGAAATTTTTCCAAGAAACGATTAGCTGAGCTGGAGAAGGGGAAGTCAATCGAAAATTTATGAATCACAAAAATATTGCTTGTTAAAAGGTTATAACCAGGGTTTTCTCGTTAATAGTGAGTCATGCTCCCACTATACCAACCAAGTATTTTCGATTTCTTCCTTAAGTCCGGGTTCTCGTTAAATCAGGGCTCGTTATAAGCAAGCTGTATTGTATATCCATTTACTGTCATAGAACTAGCTATGTCCATTTTTCCGGGCTCCTGGGTTCAGACCCTATAAGTGCATTTACATCTGGAATTTCTTCCAATTGGCTGATAGTAAATTATAATGTATAACAGAAAACGTCTTTGCTGACTGTTATTTTGAGCAATAAGTTAAAAATAATAAGAGAATGATGAATAAATCAATCTTAGCAAAAACATAAAGCATAAACCACTTGTAAGATCAAGTTTATTCAATGAACGACTTATTTTTATAGTGTATTGTTTTATTGTTGTTTTTAAGTTCTATCATCAAGTAAGTAAATCCCCATTTTTTGTAGCCACCCAAGATGTAACGAATTTCACTTCGCAGTGCCAAAACAAATCGAAGAACTCGAACCAGCAAGTAGAACTCTAAAAATGTGGCAATGGCGCCTTGAGCAAGCTCGAATTAATAAATGAGACACATTTAGCGACCATCTCTATTCCGGTCAGAGGGTCGTGTGGGTGGGAAATGCCTGGGGCCAGCGACCCATCTTCATTATCTGATGTTGTAGAAGAGCATCGTTCTGCTGCCAAAGCACTCTTTTTTTTTTTTTTTTCTTTTTCTTTTTTTTTTTTTTTCTTTTTTTCTTTTTTTTTTTTTTTTTTTTTTTTTTTTTTTTTTTTTTTTTTCTTTTTTTAAAGATGTCCTTCATGCTTTTAGATTTCTTTTAGTTAGAACAAGGTTTGTGAATTAAAATTAGTATTTTCTTTGTTTTCGAATTTTAGTCGTTAGAAGCCTCTTCCCTCCCCCCCCCAATCCCAGTTCTTTTTTGAGTAAGAATTAATGGGCAATTCTGCTGTTTTTAACCTTCAACAGGTACGGTGAAAACTTCAAGTCCTTCAAGTTATATGGTCAAGTCCGCTAGATCCTTATTTAAAATTATATATATATATATTTTAAATACTTTTCATACATGTAATTAATTATTTTTAAAAGTGATAAATAATTGTGTTTTAAAATAAAATGCGCTAGACAATTTTACCCAGAAAGATAGAAGTCTGAAGATATGCTGATATTTTTGAAGTAAAACAAAGAAAAAAGTCATTTCGTAAAACTAGCATAGTATTAGCATTGTACTTAAAAGAGAAAGAAAAATTTAAAAAAAAAAAAAAAAAAAAACATTTTAAGGCTAGAGTTTATTGTATAATTAAAATTATATGAAAATCAATGCATATACAATTAACCTTTTA